GGGGGGGGGGGAGATGATATAGATGATATAGATACAGATACAGATATAGATACAGATACAGATATAGACAAATATAGATATATAGATATAATGAGGCTATCTGTCATTATATTTGGGCTTGTGGCTATTCCAAGAAAAAGCCTCCAGTTACTGACAGCTTGCATCTCTGGGGCGGGGCCTTCATAATAAACGAAGATTTTTAACGAAACACAAATTGGTAAGGTAAAGTGTAAAGTGCTTTTGAAAACTGTTGAAACTCGGCAATTTGTTCTGTATATATTTTAATTAGAAATGTTTTACTTTTTACTTGAAAGTTTGAAAACCAAACTATCTTTAAATTTAAAAGACTACACTCTCCTATACAGTACAAACACAAACATCAAAATAACTTGCTGGCACCAAAAAACAAAATTAGTTTGGTCCTAAGTTCTTACTACATAGTTCATTTTACAGTGATTCACCATGAGTAATTACATTTTAAAACTCATTTCCTTTACAATGCTGGTCTTTTTAAATGTTGTTTTTTAAATTCTCAATCTGTACATCACAATTACTACCTTAAAAGAGAAAATTAGAAGAGGTTTCATACCTGATTCCCTTTGTTATTTTTCACAGTGATACATAGTTACCTTTGTTAGTCCCAGTTTTTTTTAAAAAAGTTTTACTGTAAGTGTCAGCTGTTTGGAATTTATACCGCACTTCCTCATTGACACAATGGCAGCAAAAATTCTTCCAAAGCCTATTTAACTGATACGTGGACGGTACTTATTGGGTCTTCAATTTCCTCCCCCATTAGCAGAAAAGGTTTCAAGTGCATGTTTCAAAGATCCTTCCTGTATTGCAAAAGTTCAGTCAGCTGATTTTGGAAGAATATCCCAGTAGGGAAACATGAGTTGACTCACTACACACTATTACAAAAGCCTCCTAATGGGTCTCTCCCAGCCTCCAGCCTCTCCCTCCTATATTCTGTCATTCAGTTTGTTGCCAGTTTTCTTAATCGCAAATCTGGTTATATAACACCCACTACTTAAAAACCTTCTTACCCAAAGAACTATACCTACAGGGTAAAGTCCAAACCCCTTAGCACCGCATAGAAGACTCTTCCCAACCGGTACCAACCTATCTTACTTCTTCTTTGCCTCCCTTTTGTAGAGACTGCCTGAAGACATTCTCATCATTGCTTACAATTTATGTTCATTCACCCCTCCATACTCTTGCAAAAGCTCTTCTGCTTAGAAAGTATTCCCATCCCTTGACTTGAACATTTGCCCATATAGATCAGTTCAAATATTACTTTCTCTATGAAACCTGCCCCCACATTCCTCAGACAGACTTAGCAAATTTAGTCACCCTTTGCCCCTCCACAAGAATTGAGCACAGTGTTTGTAGGAGTATGATAAACATTGACTAAGTTTTGAAAGCATATACATGCTTAAGTGGGGGACTGACCATAAACTGTTAAAGCCACAGTTAAAAAACCACAAGGATAGTCCATACATCTATATACAGGGGTGGGCAAAAGTAGGTTTACAGTTGTGAGTACACAGAATAGAGTTTATTCTTGTATTATTTATTAATTATCGTATTATTTTTCATAAGAATAACTGTAAACCTACTTTTACCCAGCCCTGTACAGGTATATCATAATCAATACACATATTAACATTAAAAATATAGTCTTAGATAGCAGGCTGACAGTTGTTGGGGGTTGAGGAGGAATGGAGGGATTGAGAAAAAATGAGAGAAAAAACTGAAAACTCATGGCCAACGACAGCAATGTGGGAATTTCCAGGAGTGGAAGAGGAAGTAGGGTATAAGAGGGATAAATGGTGATGGAAGGAGAGCTGACTTGGGGTGGGGAACACCAATATAGTATACAGGTGATGTGTTGTGGAATTGTGCACCTGAAACCAGTGTCACCCCGATAAATACAATAAAAAGGAAAAAAGTAAATAAATAAAACAAAGATAGTCTTAGTTATGTTTGCAAGCGCACTGAATCGTAGATTACTAAAAATCCAGATGTATAAACTACTTCACCTTAAATACTGATATAAATGTTAACCATCTAGAATGCCACAGCAAAAACAATCTTAACCAGAAAAAACTTAGTAGTTTCCCATTCAATAAAGTTTCACTAATTAGACCTTCAAAATTCCTGCAATGGGGCAAATTTACTTAATTGAAAAAGAATAAACCAAAGATAAGAACAAAATTTAATTAGTTTCCTGAAGGTCAGCAGCCCTGTATTGAAATTTTCCATCATCACCTTTGAACAACTGTCACGGCAATGATTTAGTAAAAACCCCCATTCTCCACCATACTCTATAACTAATAAAGAAAATATAACTATGCAAACAATAATTTAATACAAGAGCCAAAACAAAGTTATGTCCAGAAAGAAGCTAGAATGTTGGCGATTTGCTTCCACTATGTTTGGGCACCTCCAATATTAATACCTTACATATTTAAGAGAAGCTTCACAATTCGAAAGCAATTTCACAGAAATCCTATAACTTCAGCAGACCAGAGATTATTTGTCCGGATTTCAGACATTACAAACCCATGAAAAACACAGATAAAAGACTGGCCAAAGAAATGTAGCACTGCGTTTCCAAAAAGAAATATTCTTACAACAACAAAATGGCCCAAGATAAATGAGCGCGCGCGCACACACACTATTCCATCACTAAATTTAGCTCTGTGTACCTACTGGTGACTCCGCTGATAAAATGAACGTCAAAATTTCAAATTATGATAACCTAGACCAAAAGTTCCATCATCTCCCGGTCTCTTTCCAAGAGACATTTACTTCACAAACAAGACCAAAGCTCCATTTCTCAGAACAGTTTAAATATGAACACGCCCTCGGCGCGCGCCCAGCAGGCTCCCCGAGGTCAGAGTCGGATCCAGAGAAGTCCGGAGAGTCTGGGAGGACCCAGCTTTGCGCGACTCGGGGGTGGGGAGCACCGCCAAAGGCTCTGTCAAACAGGAGACGGAGAAAGAGGAACCAGACAGGAGACCCGTGTCCAGAAGGGTTTGGGGCGCCAGACCCGGAACCCCGCGTCTGAGCACTGTCCACACAGAGCCGGAGCTGCTCCGCCTCCCGACCCCGAGTCCAGTCGCCAGGCCAGGCCCCTCCACTCCCAGGCACCTCCGGGTAATTCCGAGCGTCCCAACCCTAGGAAACAGCAATTCCAAAGAGCCCTGGGGGCGGACACCCACCTGGCCGAGCCCCACCAAGGACCGGGCCCACCAAGCCGAACAACAGCAGCCACTGCAAGCGGAGCGTCCCAAAGGGCGAGCCCGCGCGGGATCCCATCTCGGCGGATTCCGCAGGTCCTACTCAGCATTCGGTCGCTGCTGCCTCCGCCTGCTCCATCATTTCCCAACCCCGCGGGGCCCCCGGAGCTGGCAGGGATGCGCGCGCCCGGGGCCGAACACGCGCTCGCCACTGACGCAACTCAGCTCCCGTCCGAGCTCGCTCCCGTCTTCGCGCTCGCTGCCGCTGACGTAGGGAAAAATCTAGTCCCGGGCGAGAGAATGGAATTGCGATCTGGACGCTAAAACCCGCACCGGCCTGCCCCGCCCATTCACCGTCCACGCCCGTTTCCACTCCGAGGCCCGCCTACTTAGGAGGTCGAAGGAACCGATTGGTGGAAGCACTCGGAGCAAAAGAAGGAGGAGCCTGAGACTCAGAAGAGGAATTGAGAAGGAAAAGCGAAGCACAGCCCCGCCCCCTGTCCAGCCTCTTCTGATTGGTGGTCGGTGATTTGGGCGGAGCGCCGGGCTGCGCGCCCATTGGCTGCTTGGCTGCGAAAAGCGGCACAACGGGGAGGGGCCTGACCTGGCCGGGACTGGGTGCCTGGTGCCGCCGGGGTTTGTGGTTGAGGAGGTCGGGGGTACGCCACGGGTCCCGGGAAGATGGTGCTGGGTGGTTGCCCGGTGAGTTACTTACTTCTGTGCGGCCAGGCGGCGTTGCTGCTGGGGAATCTACTTCTGCTGCCTTGCGTCTCTCGGAGCCACTCGTACAACGCTACGGCGGAGCCGGAGCTTACTTCCGCTGGCGCCGCCCACCCGGAGGTCTCCGCCGGTGCTCCGAGCTGGGAATATGGCGACCCCAACTCTCCAGTCATCCTCTGCTCTTACCTGTAAGCTTCCCAGTCGTCGAGGCAGGTGGAGATGGCAATAGGACAAGGGATATACGGGTGTTGTGCCAGGAGAGGAGGAGAGGGAGGCTGCTTTATTTTTTTTCCGGACTCTCTCCACCTGAGGACCTGATAGTCCACACGCGGGACATAAATATCACGACGGGTTTCTCAGTCCTCTCACTCATGCAGGCGAAAACCTTGTGTGTGGGTGACAGATCCTTTGGGATCCCGAAAGAGGACAACTAGGGAGGAGTGACATCATATAGTCTCCGGAAGAAGGGTAGGAGGTTGTGTCTTCTCTGCCCTGCTCGGTTTTACCCGAAAGAGACTCCTGCGAAGGGGCTGGTACTGTGCGAGGTACAAATGAAGTAAATTACTTGCCCCTCCTAAAAGGTACTTCCGGGGGGGGGGGCAGTATTCTTACCGTTGCAAAACCAAGTGACTTTTTAACATCTCATTTTAGTCTAATAGGAAAAGGAGTTTGGGAAATGCAAGGAGAACTGGGAATCCTTTGGCCTCAATTTTGCCCCCCTAGGCTTGTGGATATTTGCCTAGGGAAGAGTTGAAGCCATGGCAGAAGTAGAATCCATGTAGAAATAGGACCAGAAACAACCCCGTGCCCCAATAAAAGGGTCATTTGGATGGCTGTCTATTTGACCTGCCATGCTTCAGTCTAATTGACACCATCTCTTGTCTTGGAGAAGAATCAGAATGAAATTAAGCCCCAGAAAGCTTGAAGAAATGTCTCTTGCCTGTTTTGATTATATATATGTAAACAGCCATTTGCAAAGACCGTATGATGATCATGATCTTGTTGGTGTTTATAGACCTGATGAATTCATAGAATGTGAAGACCCAGTGGATCATGTTGGAAATGCAACTGCATCCCAGGAACTTGGTTATGGTTGTCTCAAGGTGAGTTTTTTTGTTTTGTTTTATAAGCAAACTCGTCCAGAAATGTATAAAAATAGTTACAGAAAAGTATAAGGGTTATGAAGTTACCTGTTTGTAAAATTCATTAGAATGACTGTTACTAGAAATTTCTGGCATGGCCAGGGTCAGTGGTTGAACAAGTCACTTAGTTTCCTCCGGAAGAAGCAGTCTCTGTGTCAAAACTACTCGGATGCAAAGACCACCCTGTCTTTGTTTCCTTTGGCCATTGATATTGACAGATTTGAAACTAAACTGTAACCCCTAACTATCCTTCAAGGCATGCACTTTCCTGAAAGAGCAAAAGACAGGCTTATGTACTTCCTAAAAACTGATGATGAATTGAGCGGTATGTTTGTTATACATGCATTTAGGGCAAAGCTCCTCAACAAAAATAGTAGCGAAGCACTGAATAAGGTTCCAGTAGAGAATGCACAGCTGTGCTTTCTCTTTTAGAATTCAGTTACACAAAGGTTCAAAGGTTCTGTTCCGATTTTTTTTTGCTGGAATTTGAACATACTGTAGATGTACTACAAATAGCTGTTCATCACACATTCATGACCTAAATAAAGCCCTGAGTCAGTTGATATTCTGAGTTCTTTCCTAATTATGTTCATTTATAATATATAAAACAGACCTCTAATACACATCAACTTTTTAAATACCCAGTCCCAAATGCTCAGTAATGTGCTCTTTTTCCTGTAAATAAAGGATAATTAAAGTATAGTGTCCATCTATTTTAAATGGCATTTAATGAAACTGATGAATGTTTTAAACTTTATTATTAAAGAAGCCAATCATAAAGAAGAAAAATGAGTTCATTTAAAGCAGTGTACATTTAGGATGGACTAATTTATAGTCACTTGAAATATGTCACTAAATTCCTTGTTCTTTAGCACAGCTTTACCCCAGCTTCATTCGAATAATTATCATCCTCAGTCAGCTTTTATTAATTAATATAAAGATATATTTTGTGTTGTTTGCTTTGGTGAGTTTTTTGGTTTCGTTTGTTCTGGTGGTGGTTCCAGTTTGGTGGTCAGGCCTACAGTGATGTGGAACACACGTCAGTCCAGTGCCGGGCCCTAGATGGAATTGAGTGTGCCAGTCCTAGGACCTTCCTACGAGAGAATAAACCTTGTATAAAGTAAGTGTTACTTTGAATGGGGTAGTTAGTACTTGGATGGAGGTAGAGCTGTTTTCCTTGTCATCTCCTGATGTGACTTTTTCTTTTACCTTAAGTGTTAAAGGGGCAACAGGATTACTACTGCATATAATCCATGGTCGGGGGCAATGTAGTTATAACAGAGAGGACACTGGACTTAAGCCCAGAAGCCATAAGTTCTAAATGTCTCTTTCATCAACTAGCTAAGTACCTTTGAGCACCCTCTCTATCCCCTCATCTACAAAATGAAGGAGTAGGACCAGAGAATCTAACTCCAAAATTCGTATAATAAGCATCAATCCTGTGAAAATAGCTTTAGTATTTCAGGAATAAAGGTTTTGTCATGAAAAGTATGAGCCTCTCCCTGAAAATCAGTTTATCTTAAAGTTAAAGAATTAGGGTTATTTCTATAAATTCTGCTTGAAGGCATAGAATTTCATATGCCATTTGTTAGTGAAGAGTCTATAACTATGTTTAGTGATGATACTAGAGTAACTAAAATTAAGTGTCATCACAGTATGTAAGACAGAAGTCTTCATGAAGATGTCCCTGATTTTAGTTGCCACAATACAGCAAAAAAAAAAAAAAAAAAGGTATATGGAGATCAGCATTCATTTAAGGAAAGTTGACACTTCGTTACAGAACTACATTCATAACTACAGCCTCAGGAAAGGAGCCTATGCAAGGGACGAATGGGGGCCCAGACCACTCCTACCAGTATGCCTATTGTGCTAATGTGCTTAATAGTTTCCTGTCCAGTCCAACTCAACATTTGTTCTTACGGTTCCTGCATATCTTAGCAATTATGCTTTTGAAACTCTAGAGCAGCGATTTTCAAACAGTATGCCATGAGAATTTTTAAAACATGCAGTGACCTGACTTTTTAGTCAGGGGCACTGACCCCTTTTCCCTTAGATTGTCAAATAAAAAAATGACAACAGCCAACACAATAGCGGTCCAAGGTGAATGAATCAAAATTATGTTTATTTTTTTGTCAGATCAGCAAAAATATATTTTTTGGTGTGCCGCAAATTTTAGTAATTAGTTTATGTGTGCCATGAGATGAAAAAAGTTGAAAATGTCTGCTTTAGACCAACAAGAGGTCTTTTGGAGGGGGAAAGGGGTTGGTAAGGGAGTAAGAGGTCACAGAGGGACTTTCATTAAATTCATTGATCATTAAGTATTTTAATTTTCATGTGGTAAACATCTTCCTTTTAATTCCTTTTATGTAGATATACTGGACACTACTTCATAACCACTCTACTGTACTCTTTCTTCCTGGGATGTTTTGGAGTGGATCGTTTCTGTCTGGGACACACTGGCACAGCAGTAGGGAAGCTATTGACACTTGGAGGACTTGGGATTTGGTGGTTTGTTGACCTTATATTACTTATTACTGGAGGGCTGATGCCAAGTGATGGCAGCAACTGGTGCACTATTTACTAAAAAGAGCTGCTGTTATTGCCCAAAGAGGCAAGTCTGAATTCATCTCTACAGGCTCAAAACTCTTCCTTGATATCAGACCTGACCATTACTTGCCATCTTTGGAGGGAATGGGTTTGGTTAGGAAGGTTTCTTTGGACTGTGGATTTTCAGCCCAAATTTTACCTTGCTGACTAGAAATGACAAGCAAACACTGCTGTGGGAACCAAGTTTATACCTTTTCTCATGTACAAAATATAAAAGCTAGCAACTAACTCACAAGCTGCGGAAGGGTTTCTATACCCTTTGTTTCTGTCCATGGCTATATCTTCAATCCTTTGGAGCAAGTGGACCCAACAGGATGAACGAAGTGAATATTTTTATTGGCCTTGTGCCTTTTGTGACCCTGAGTCTCATGCACAGGAGAACTGAAGCTGAAACAATGAAAATCTTCAACAGAAGTAGAACTGGCCATGGATTTTAACACGCACTGAAATTCCAACTTTCAGAATTTAAACTACAGAATAAATTTTGCCAACCTGGAATGCTATTTGGGTATTCTCAGTAGGTAGAGTGAACATCAAAATTATATTTGTTCCCCTAAAAGCTAGGTGATTGAAGTGAACTACCCTATTATTAAACCCTATTGTTTCACCATTGTTATGCTTAAGAGGCAATATGTATGTGGAAATAGATATATACATGGAAATAATTTTTTCATTCCAATTATAGTTTGAAAGCCAACAGTATCAGACCTGTCTGGGTTAGCCTATCCTCTTGGCAGAATTTTCCTATCTAAAAAGTAGTATTTACCAGTTTAGAGAGCCCATGTTATAGGCTGGTAAAAAAAGATTCCATACAAATGACTATAAAATTGTTCTGCACGATTAGGTAAGATAAGGTGAGGCACATCGTGCTCTTGGGAAGAAAAACAGATTCTTACTTAAAGGATATTGTTACTGAGTGCTGGGTGGATTTAGGATGCTCTTTGTGGGGAGAAAAGAAACAAACTTAGTTCCCAGCCTTTTCAATCCAAGTTGAAAAGAACTGTAAATACAAAGTAAAAGGGGACTTTATGGATAAGTCAAATTAAGATGTCATTATTTGAAATAACTTATAAATTCGAGAAACAATTAAGGTAGAACCGCTCAAAGTTTAGTTTCATCATAATTGACTTAAAGAGCAAGAATCACAGTTAAAATAACTCTGGATCTGCTCTATCATTATGAAACGGCTTTCCTAAAAGTTTCAGCTTTATTACCCCTGATTAATGTGATCACTGTTCTTATATTGTTAAATGGTGGCAATTGTATAAATATTAAAACAGATTATTCTGTTCTGTCTTGAAAGTTCTGTACCACACTGACCTCAACCTTGTTTACAACAGTAATGGTAGATTTTTATTCATAATCTCTATACTCTAAGGCAGTGTTTTTTAAATTGTCAGTCATGAAGAAACTGGACCCTCTCCCCAGAAAAATACACAGACACATAAAATTTTGCATAGATTTTAAGGGGGTCTAACAGTGTCATATTTTTTTAAAAAACTCACTTCTAAAAGAAGTCCAGAAAACAAACTAAAATTGAAAATAATATACTACACCTTAAGCCACAAATTCTGCCTCATCTCCCAACTTTTTAAAAATCTTGTTAAAGATAGTCACAAACCCCATCAACAGCTATTTTATTTTAAAAATAATTTTAAAAACACTTCGGCAGCTTTCAGACTCAAATTGTTAATGTTGCCAGAAGGAAGAGCTTGGGTAAAAAGGTAAAGTCTATAATTTATTGAAGTATCTATTTTATAGAAACCCTTCTTGCAGTCAGAAAAGCTGGTAGAGACCAAAGTTGTTTCCACTGCTAGAGTGATAACTTGAGAATCTTTAATAATCTGTGACAATCCACGGTTTCCAGTTTCATTTTGACTTATAAATTATATCCATCCTCTGTATGCATAAACCCTGACCAAATATGATAAAACCTGAAAAACTGATTACGTAAGGGAATAGTATTAAAAATTTGATTTCCTTTGCACTCTGGATTCAGATTGTTTCTTAATATTTAGTAAGTAGGTAGGTAGATAGATAGATGATAGATGATGATAGATGATAGATAGATCGATAGATCGATCGATAGATCGATAGATAGATGATAGATAGATGTGTGTGTGTGTGCCTGCCTCTGCTTCCTGACTCCAGCTCTGACCAGGGACCCTCTCTGGGACTGGGAAGGAGGATGACTGTGGATGCTGAGCTCCTGGGTGTGACAGGGCCAGATGTCACTCCCCTGCTTCCCAGGAGCTGGTCAAAAAGGTGATACCCCACCACTGCCTGGGCTCCCTCTGGTCCCAGCAGCACAAGAAGAGCAAGGAGCATCTGACTTCCACCATCAGAGCCCCTATCAGTTCAACAGTGTGGCCAACTGCTTCAAGGACCAGAGTGTGACGGCCAGGGACCAAGCCAGAGTGATAGAGCGCTGGATCCTGGTGGCCAACATGTGCCATGGGAGGGCTCGAGGTTCCCCTGTAGAATTCTGGAAACTCCTGTTTTTTTGGAGGACAGGGGTTCCTTCCTTCCCCAAACCAGCCAGCCCATCCTTACAAAGCCAAGCTCCTGTGGCTCCTTCAGTCTGCACTGCACTTCCAAGGGAAGGGCACCCCCCTTACCAGGGACCAGGCACTGCAGGGGATGTCCAGATTTTGGCCCACATGGCCAGACCCAGGAAGCAGGTCTGGGTGCACTGTGGGAGCCCCACTCTGTGTATATGTTTGTGTTATATCCAGTTTGTCGCTATGGAGAAGTTTAAAAATACTTAAGTGTTTTCTGTCAAGGTTAAATTAGAAACTGCCTGTCTTTCAGTTGTTTGTGTCTTTAAAATTTTATCAGCTTCCCAGACTTCCTGGTACCACATCCTCCTTCCATTTGCTTAGTAAAGCTTCTTAGCAGTAGTGGCACCCCCAACCTAATATCCCCCGAATGTGTGTGTGTGTGTGTGTGTGTATGTGTATTTAAGCATTCATTTTCCTTTATAAGAAAGAGATCCTAAAACTCCTAGCCATCTTTGGCACATCTTCAATACAAACCAGGTAATATAGCTTTGGTTTTGTTAGATAATTTTCTTTAAAGCAAGATACTTAATCCATTATTTCAGGTGTGATTGTCAGGATCAAAGTTTGACTTCCCCGACGAACCACAATGGAAAGGGAATCATTGTCCTTAACAGCTTCAGTAACATCGGTTGTGGTGGTAACAGGTTGCCCATTTATGCTGACAATTACATCGTGGTCTCTCAACCCAGAGCTGGGAAGGGGGGAAAAAAGGAGCATGAAACTCTAAGAGTTTTATATGTCCCAGCTAGAAGTCAGTGTCTATCTCTTATGGCACTACTATTTTGCTGATAGTAAATATACCAACCAGGAAACCAGAAATAGCTCTGTCCTTTTCCAATATGAGGACTGCTCTGAGTTATGCCATTTACCTTTATAAAATTACTATTCTACCACAATCATGTGTAAGAAGTTTACTCCTCCCATATATTGGGTTTAGTTCGGAATAGGATTTAGCTTTTAATTTCTATTAATCTCTGACCTCTCTTAACCTCAAGCATACTCCCAGTCTTATGAGCAAACATGAAAAGCCCAAGCAATATGTTTTTCCCCAGACAGCTGCACTGATCCGTTTGATTTCAACAGCCCACTTGCCCCATCCTCAACCACAGTTTATGGAACGAGAGAGTATGTTGAGCTACACTATGAAAAGCTCTGCTCGCAGTAAATAAAAAACTAGTCACCCTTCCAAGTCTAAATATTTAAGGCTCTGGTTCTAGACTCCTTTTCCCCAAAGCTGTGATTGTATTCCGTCTCCTACCTATTTGCTTCACGTAGAATGTATATCTTAGAAACACAAACCCCCTCCAACACTGCAGTAAATATATAGCGATCCTATTGATTTATTGTCTTAAAGTTGAAAATAGACTGGAAGAGGAACATAAAATTCAATAACTCCAGGAGACACCCTTTAAGAGAAATGGGAAGCTCAAGGAAGAAGAATAGGGAGGGTTATCAAGATATGTAGAGTTTATTTTTTCTTTTTAATTTAAAGCAAGAGGATGTGAAGAGAAGTTTGAAGGTAAGTAGAGCTAAAAGCATGGAAAGCCTTTAGAACAAGGTTAGTCCAGAAGATGACTGGGACAGTGCACAGAGAAAGAGCTTAATTCACAGTAGTTCCATGAGTAGAAAAAGAGAAAGAAAGAAACCTACAGGTTATTACTGAGTGCAAACTATGTGCCAGATAGGAAGTGAGGCTCAGACGGGATACATGTCCCACACCTTGTAAAAGGCTAAAGTAGGATTTGACTTGAAAACCCATCTTCTTGCCACTCAGTCAGTCTGCCTCTCAGAAGCAAGAAGAGCAGCCACAGAAGCAGGATAATACAGGGGTTAAGTTAATGTGTAACTCTCACATTGACCTCTATATCACAGCTGCTTCCTCTGCAAAATAGTACCTATATCATAAGTCTACTGCGGGCTCAAACCAAGTATGTAAAACACTTAAAATGATGCCCGACATATAGTAAGTGGTTAATAAATGCCAGTCCTTATTACTATAATGATTGTCATTATTATTAGATATAAATGGATGGAGCCAAAACAGATTTCCGGTTTAGCAATGACATCAAGCAAGCAGTAAGTCCCACATCTTCATGTGCATCCAAATCATGGAGATCTTGTTTAAAATGCAGTTTCCGATTCAGTGGCGCCTGGCATTCTGCATTTCTAAAAAGCTCCAGCTGTTGCTAATGCAGCTGGCCTGCAGACCACATCCTGAGTAGCAAGGACATGGAGAGCTGAAAGAAATAGCTTTGGCCTTGGACCAGAAGTTAAAAATAAGATTGGGGGGAGGGGGCAGTAACCAAAAAAAGTCTAGAAAAGTCTGTGACAAGCCAAGTTCAGTAACATGAGACTGAACACTTAGCTGTTCTGAACAGGTAGTACCCTATGGTTTCTTGCCCCCTACTGAAGGAGTTGCCATAATCTAAGCAGATTATTGAGCTCTTGAAAAACAAGTACAGTGAGAGAGACTGAAGAAGTGTAAGAGAAGGACCCAGGAGAATAACTGTTGGCCGAGCCACCTCTTCCCAGTAGCATCTTTGGAGAGCTCCTCTAGCCTTTGCTTTATTCACTTACTCCTTCCTTCATTTGTTCATTCAGTGCTGCCTTCTAATACTTTCATCCAGAGTTCAAAGATAAAAGTACTTCCAAGTACCTAAAATACGTTCTTAACCTTGTGACCCTTTGGATTCTTCTGATTCTTAATAACTAAGGTATTGAAAGGCTAGACTTGGGATCCTAGCAAAAACTTAGGCTGATGACTTATATCATGCATTCTTGGCCTAAAGAGAACCATCCCCTTCCAAAAAAAAAGAAAAAGAAACAGCCCTTACAGTGCACAAGTCTAAATCAGCATTACTCCAATAGTATGTAAGGCAAGACACAAGTCATATATAATTTTAAATTTTCTGGTAGCCACATTTTTTCCAAAAATTTTAAATAGATGTAACCAATTTTAGTAATATAGCATATTTAACTCAATATATCTAAAATATCATTTTAACATGTAGTATTTTAATAATCAGTATGTATTTAACACTCTGTAAATACATACTAATACACTAGAAACAACACACAATGATAATATTTTATACAATGCAATGATTAAAATGAAAGGCAATCCTCCCCCCCATCTCAGCCCCAAAAAAGGAAAATACTTTACATGCTTCTGATTTCTTTGTTTAAATTACTTAAAATTAAATTAAAAATTCAGACCATCGGTCACACCAGCCATATCTCAAGTGTTCAATAACCACGTGTGGGTAGGGGCCACTCTATTGGACAGCTTAAGTCTAGATCCTACACAGGTTTCCCATGGCACACATCTAGCAAGAACAAAGGAGGCTGGGCAAAGGCCTGAGCTTCTCTTACCTTTCAGCAGCTGTTCCTTGAATCACCTCATATACAAAAACCCCAGAACTCACAACAGGGAAATCTGGATCTTGCCTTTTCATTTCTTGAAGAAGGCTAAGAAAAGTAAGAAGAGTTTTCCCATAAAGTTAAAAAGCACAGTGACTTGATCTCTGGAGCCCCAGGCAAAGCCTCAGAATCTCAGTAAATATTCTATCTGCTCTCTCAAGGCTCAGAGGAGCCAGAGAGGGTTCCATCAAGCGGGTCACACTTATTCTTCCTCAGGGGGGGTGCTCTGATTCTCTATGCCAAAGCCTAGGACCATTGGACGTTATAAAATGCAGGCACAGTGAAAGGAACTGCTGAAGAGTACAGTGGTGCATCAATAGGGCCTATGGCAGGAAGAGTATCCAGCTGTAATCCAAACACTTTAGTTTCCACGTCAAGGCTGCCTCGCTATGACTTTTTGCTTCGGAAAACAACCCAGACATATTCAAACCCACGCTTACTTCATAGTGAGGGGCAACATTCGCAGACCCAGATATTTCCTCTGTGAAAGAGCCCTTCCTGCAAAGGAACATTATAATGTGTTACCAACGACAAAACTTCTCTCCTTTCAGCAGATCTTAAAAGGCACCGGAGTCTCAGAGCAGCCTTCCCATCATAGCTGCCCTCTCAGGCTGTGCCTCAGAAAACCTTTGTCATTAATCCAGACACTCCTCCCACCCACCGCCCACCTCTGCCCCTCAGGTTTCCTTTCCACAAGAGTTCAACCCAAATATTCTGGGTACAGTTCATGCCTGGTTTTGTGCCTGGTCCCCGTATTGCTGCCCGAACCACCATGATAGGAACTGGGTACCAGGGACTCAGTAATCGACAGAACTGTCTCTGCGATGGGTTGAATGCTCCCAGAAAATACACAAGGGGAAGAAAAAGTCCTCACTCCCCTTACCTTTCAACTGGCGCTCGTGGAATTCCGCCAAGAACTGTCGAATTCGATCTGAGGGAATTGCAAAGGAGATTCCCGCCGTCACCTTCAGTGTATTTATGCCAATCACATCACCATCCTGGCAGGGGAGGAGATGTCATTCAGTCACCAACTTGTGCAGACTGAACAAGTAGGAAGGAGTGAAGCGAGTCACTTAGGGTCAGAGTGCAGAGGGGCCAGAGGAAGAGTGCTGCTTTGGTAGAGAGCAGTGGGTGCTACCTTAGAGGGTGAAGAGTGTGGGAGGACAGCAGGGGGGACCTACATGTGCAAATTCCTGCCGAGGAATTCTTTTTTTTAATTCTGAGCTCATTTTTTTTCCTTCACTGAATTACATTGATCTTAAATGTGAACCACGATTTGTTATTTGACCCAGAGAAGAGAACAAGGAGTATTTGCCTTTTCATTCCTTAAATGAAACTAAAAATAAACATGACAAAGGCAAAAAGCTGTTAGATATTCACCAGCACCTCAATGAAACTCTTCAGAAGAATTGGTAAATTGACTTTAGGAACAAAGCTCTACTAAACCCAAACTATGAAGTGAGAACTACTTTCCTCTTCGAGCACTTCACCATCCTCCAGCCTTTGTTAGGTAATGGGAAAGATTTTAAAAAATTATACTGTTTAATTTAATATTTAATCCTACTGGAAGACAGATTATAATTCAGTAGGCCTGGAGTGTAGTCTGAAATTCTACATGTCAGCCCTGCTCTAGTAAACTCATTGTCCACTGGAGAAAGAAGGCACGAAATATTGTCGGCAATGTTATGAGTAAGAAACTCAGTAACTTCACGCACAATTCATCCCTCTACAAGTAAGTGTAATGTGCAAAGACGAGCCAAAAGGAATCAGCTCAGAAACTCAGAGAGCGCAATCACAGGCTGTGTCAAAGAGCATGGCATCCTCATGTTTTCACATGTGTTTGAGTGCTAGAAACACTGGCATTTCCAGTAGATAGACTGTATAAATTTAATAATTAAATACATGACAGAAATGAATTTGTGGTGTGGCTTTTCTGTCATTTATAAGTAGGTTAAGACTAAAAACCTTGCCCTGGCCAGTGTTGCTCTGTGGTTAGAGTGTTAGCCTGCCCACCAAAGGACCTCGGGTTTGATTCCTGGTCAAGGGCACGTACCTGGGTTGCAAGTTCAATCCCCACCCCAGTCCGGGTGTGGGTGGGAGGCAACCAATTGATGCGTCTCTCTCACATCAATGTTCCTCTCTCTCTCTCTCTCTCTCTCTCTCTCTCTTTCTCTCTTCCTCTCCCTCACTCCCTTCCACTCTTTCTAAAGATCAATGGAAAAAATATCCTTGGGAGAGGATTAACAAAAACAAACAAACAAACAAAAAGACTTAAAACCTGGACAGACCACATCATGAAATTAGCATTTTTAAATGAGAAATAGTTCATATGCAGCAGCAAGGAGTCTTCAAGGATATACATTACATAGTACAGTTGGTCATTTGACATAAATTTGGGCTTTGTACCCAGGACTTTCGTTAACTATCCAATGAAAACAGAAAGCGTGTTGAAGAGATGTAAGTAACATGCAAGTAAATAAACCCTGGCTCTTTCAGCTGGATGAGATTGCAGGCCAGGGTGACAAATCAATTGTAGATGTCAAATTTTCCTAACCATTTGCTTAAGATGCAGTCATAGAAAAGCATCATACCACAGATCTCTACACTAGCATTAGTCTGCACTGTGGAAACCTGTGAAGTCTTTAAAGGGAAGGGACATGAAGTAGCAAGGAAAGTGGCCACTTACCAAGTTCACCAGAGGCCCCCCAGAATTCCCGTGCTGGAGAAAGAATTTGAAAAAGCCATCAGTGCTTTTCTCCTTGTTAACCATACATAGTTCCTAAACAGGTTTACCAAAAGCAGCCTGCTCTAGGAAGCCCCTGTTCCCCCATCATCATCAATACGGAAGTCACTGTAGGTAAAGAACAACAGCAAAAGGACCACCGCTTCCTCCAGTAGTGGTGGCTTCTATGACAGGCCCTAACAGACCACCCAATATCATGGATAACAGTTATATCAAAAAGGCTGGACTCTAATAACGTGGCATTCCACCCCTCTCGTGAGGATCTAACTGAACTCTGGACAGCCCCAAAAGGCCAAAGGGGAAAGAAGGCACTCGGACGTGTTCATCGCACTGCACTGCCCGTATCTTATGGGCTCCCAAGTGACTTACATTAATGATGGCATCAGTCTGGATATAGTCCATGTCTGAATCCTTCAGCCCCAGTTCTTTGCCCCCTCGCTGTGTAGTGCTGACAATCCCTGCTGTCACTGTGTTCTGCAGAGAAAATGGGCTGCCCAAGGCCACCACGAACTCTCCAGCCCGCAGGTCAGATGACCTTCCCAGCAGCAAGACAGGAAGGTCAGTCTGCACATGGGAAAGAAGGGATGCAGGAGACAAATCAAGACTAGAATCAACCAGTGTTTGTGTACAACACATATATGACACAGTCTTTGTCACTTTGGCATTTCTAATCCAAGAATCACCCACCCATACTCTTACTTGTTAAGACAATTGGGATCATCTCTAAAATCTAAAAGTATTGTCCAGCCGGCGTGTCTCAGCAGTTGAGCATCAACCTATGATCCAGGAGATCTTGGTTCGATTCCTGGTCAAGTCACAAGCCCAGCTTTCAGGCTCAATGCCCAGCAGGGGGCGTGCAGGAGGCAGCCGATCAAGGACTCTCGCATGATGTTTCTCTCTCTCTCTCCCTCTCCCTTCCTCTCTCTGAAGTCAATAAAAATATATTTTAAAAAAGAACAAAAGAAATTCACTCTTTAAAAAATGAATAAAATCTAAAGGTATTGCTTTGTATAAATTACTATAAATAAACCATAGCGAAATAACTGATGAATGTAAACTGACATTAGCAATTTCCTTAGCACGGGTCCAGCTCAAAAGGTTAGTCAATGTTAATTGGCCACAAACAAAGGAGATCACCCAGAACAGCTCTTCTCAAACTTTAATGTGTACCTGAATCATCTGGGGATCTTAAGAAAATGCAGATTCTAATTCAGTAGACCTAGCCAGGGTCTGAGATTCTGCATTTCCAAAAAATCCTTAGATGATGTCATTGCTGCTGCTGTGCAGATCACACCCGGTGTCATGGGGCCTCAAAGTATTCCTTAGCAGCTCTGAATTCACTGTGATCATTTGTGGTACTCTAAGACAGAACTCTAAGAGAAATGTTTCCCAGAAGCAGCATCTGTTGAAGAAGGCAGTGAAGGAGAAAAAAAAGAAAAGGCTGCTGGATAGTTAATCGAAATTGTTAGGGATGCACAGACTGGCATGGAAGGAAATAAACAAAAGAGGGAGTAAACAAACAGAAAAGAAGGAAATTAGAAAACAGCATACACCAGGTAAAAAGATGTGGTGTGGAGGGAAGTGGGGTGAAGAAGAAACTATGAGCAAATTGATGAAAATTCCCAAATATGCAGACTCCGATTTAGCCCTGGCATACTCACGTTTGGCTCAATCTTAATCAGCGCAAGATCCAATTTATGGTCAATATCCTTGACAGTGGCTTCATACTGGACCCCACTCTGGAGCTCTGCCTGGATTCGCTGCTGGTTGGTGAGGACATGGGCATTGGTAACAATGAGCCCATCCTCAGACACTAGGAACCCAGAGCCACTGGACGCAGGAATATCCTCGCTGCCGAGAGGTGACCTGTCTCGGCAAGATAACACATAAGCAGAGGGCAGGAAAGTCAGGGGATCCACCGCACTCTGGAAATGCAGGAACCTGGTGTTATCAAGCATACCCCTAGGACAGTTTTCTCAGACGTTTTACTTTTCCCTGCCTGTGTTTTCATTTTCTCCACGTGTAATTAGACTCTGCGTGTCCCGTGGCCTGGCCATCTCTTGTGAACCCCACCGAGGGCTGATTCCAACTCTCCTTTTCCAGGGACACTCCCTTCTTCAGAGCTGGTCAGAGGGCAACCCTCTGCTTTAAAGATGCCTCACCTAATCACAATACTGCGGGCAAAAGTGGACCCAGTGCCAAATCATCGAGCACCCAGGCTGGGACGGAGTCCAGGAAGTCTGGTTCCTGTTTAGGTTGCACTACTAACTGGCCTTGTGACAGAGGATTTCCTTCCATGCCAAGGAGGGGGCTGAGCAAGATCATCCAGATGCTTTCTAGCTCTTGCACCTGACCTTCCATTTTGTCTGTGGAAGATGGAGAGAGAAATCCCAGCCACCTGAGTGCGCAGGGGTGCCCAGATCTGGAAGTCAGAGTACTTATCCCCTGACCAGGTTGCTGGACATTTTTGAGCCTCACAGCGATTTTCCCCACTTGGTGATGCTAGAAATGCGGCAGTGCGGGACCTGGAGCGAAAGTCAGCGAGCGGTGGAGAGCCCCCCGCTACCTCCTTTACCTGCGGAACAGCTGCAAGTGAACCACAGACGGCGCCACCTTCTCAACCACCTCGGCGATGAAGTTGTAGTTGCTCCTGCGCCAGCCGGCGCTTCTGGTCCCTGCGAAGAAATGCTTCCTTCTGGGCGGCGACGGGACCCTCGCCTCCTTCCCTCCCGGGGCTTCGATCTCAAATCCCAGTCTCTCCCCTGCGTCTCTCTCCACCTTTCCTCCCTCCCCTTCCTCTCTTCGGTCTCCCCCGTCCTGCGTTTTCCCCGCAGTCCACTAAGGAGGCGCCTTAAGGGACCCAGACCCGTCATCCCGGTTGGAAAAAAAAGAAAAAAATTTAGAAGGGAAGAGGGCATTTAACCGGTGTGGGGAGGAAACTGGGGGAAAACCACGTGGTAACCTGAAAAGAGACACCCAGGGAGGGAAGGGAATGGGGCTATCCCGAAAGCCAGCGGAGCAGGGCAGCAGCCGCGGAGGGCGGCGCGGCTGAAACACGCGCCTCAGGCGGGTTCCCAGAGCGCCCGAGGAGCGCGGCCGCGCGCTCACC